ACACAACACAGACAGGAAAAAAACTGTAAAACCTGGTGGATGTAAGCGCTGCTGAAGTGGAGAAAAAACTGCATTTAAAGATAATTATACAGAAATCTACAGATACAAATAGAATATTTATGCAATTATAAAATCAGGTGAATGATATGAACAAACCCCTCAGTAAAAACTTTCAGAATACAGTTTGGAGAAACTTTTTTTTTATAGTGTTCAGGTAATTTAAAGCCTTGGCAACATTCTTTTAACATAGTATAAAACGGGTTTCACTTAGTGGAGCTACAAAACAGGATAATTAGAAATGTATAAGTTTGATTCATATATTTTAATATGAGCATGCATATTTAAATATGCATGGATTTGAGAACTATTTGTTGCTTATTTAATAATGAAAGTTATTGTAGAACAGTTTTTCGCTCATTACTAACACTACGTCAGATGTGAGAGCAGATTGTTGTTTTCATCGGGTTATACATGATGAAGTGTCAGTTACAGTAGCTGGGTTATGTCATGTGCTTTTTCCAGGTGTGAGCGTAAGAGGCGTCTTTGTTGGTAGTCTTTTGTGCAAGAACGATGTTAATGACTTGATGTTTAGGGAGGTGATGAGTGTCAAATAAGCTAGAAAGTTTTGATAATGATTTAATAATTGTGCAATTAAAGGCTGGAATACATTAATTGACTTGTAAAACTCAAACTCACGCAGAAACAAATGGCCTGTTGCTAGGAGATGCGTGACAAATGAAAACAGTGTGTTCTAAAATCAGCTCAAAGAGAGAGGAGTGTTCATTGCATTCATTGATTCTTTATTGTGACCATTTTCCTTTTGTTAGAATAATAAAGTCACGAAGACCCGTTAAGAAACTTCATGAGATGCATTCTGGGAACACTAGTAAATTACACTTCCTTCTCCATCTGGCTCAACTAAAGTTCAGCATCGCAAAGAAATTCATATGTTGATATTTGTCCATAAAATTAAACTTTAAAGGTGTGTTAGCAAAAGCATTTGGGTCAAAGCGTTGTTGATCTTGACAAATGTAAATTCGATCATGTTTGTCAATGTTTTACTGCTAGTGTATTTATTTTATGAGTCAAGATCTAATGCAAGCCTATCAAATCCAATGTAAAACTGAAATTAAATGCAAAGGTGTGGTATTTATTCATTTAGCAGAAACTTCAATCCAACACAACTAATTTTTATTTTTTTACCGTATATAATTTTCAATTGTAAAGTGAATTATAAAAATTTATAATTATAAATGTATTCATATTTATTTATTACCTTCATTTATATACTAGATCTTATTTACTTAGCTATTTATTTTTAATTCTATTTATTAATATTTTATTTAATATTAAATGGAAGGATATGCAATTTAAATGAATACGTTCATGTATTGTAATTCTATTTATTAATTTTATTTAA